TATTCATATCCCACTTTTTCTCTTTCAAAGGAGACTCAAAGTGACTAAMACTCAAAATCACACAATTGACTTCATCACAAAGAGCTGGAGAAAACTATGGAAAGCAGGAGAAAGAGTGGAGTTYCATGGAGTTCTGTCTTTAAAGAACATGAAGAATTTACTCCTTTTTTATGTATAATTTTTATTGATTAACATTTATGCTTGCAGACACGTAAAGAGGGGGAACAATGGTGGTAATAGGAAAGTAGGAAAATAGGAAAAAGGAAAAGRACAAAAAAAAAAAAGAAGRTTGGAGGTAGTTGGGGAGGCTGGAAGGGGTTGAAATGATTGAAAAAAAAAAAATGTGAGGGAMGTAGTTTATGGTGAGGAATTTCCAGTCCATTCCACAGAGATGCAAACATCAGTTTGAAAAAAAAAATGAAAAAAGTTTTCTTTGTGTYGTCGCTATCCGAGTATTTTGATTATCTTATTTATATATTGATATTAATCTTCATTTTTTCCTGCAAATATTTTTTCAGTTGGTTCCACTCGGTTTGATTTTCCTTTTTCTGATTTTCAATTATCTGTTTAATTCCCATTGAGAAATGGGATCATACCACCACATGTGGTGGGATTGTAAGATCATCAAGAAATACTGGATAACAATCCATAGGCACTGCCAAAATATTATCAAAATAAAATACAAATTGAAACCCGAATATTACCTGTTGAATATAACAGATTTTGAAATTGGGAAAAATAAAGAAAAGATTCTTTTTTATCTCACAGCTGCGGCGAGAATTACGATTGCCCAAAAAATGGAAAGACAAAGACCCTCCAATAATAGAGAACTGGCTCTCCAAGATTGGAGAATTTATGAACATGGATAGACTGTCAAAGAATTTACTCACTCCTGTCACACTAAGATCACCTCCTCCTGCTCCTAATTAAACAATCCAACTCTGTTGGTTCTCTTGGACTCTGTTGGTTCTCTTGGACATCTCAGTGGCTTTCGACACCATCGATCATGGTATCCTTCTGGGATGACTCTCTGGGATGGGTCTTGGGGGCACAGTTCTGTCGTGGCTTCGGTCCTTCCTGGAGGGTCGATCCCAGATGGTAAAGCTGGGAGACGCCTGCTGGACCCCTGGCCATTGACCTGTGAGGTCCCGCAAGGTTCTATTCTGTCCCCCATGCTATTCAACATCTACATGAAACCTCTGGTAGAGGTCATCCGGAGTTTTGGAGTACGGTGCCATCTCTACGCAGATGACACACAACTCCACTACTCATTTCCACCAGATTCCAAGGAAGCCCCTCGGATACTGGACCAGTGTCTATCTGGATGAGGAAGAACAAGCTGAAGATCAATCCTGACAAGACAGAGGTCCTCCTGGTCAATCATAAACCGGATCGGGGTATAGGGTGGCAACCTGTGCTGGATGGGGTTACACTCCCCCTGAAGTCACAGGTCCGCAGCTTGGGAGTCCTCTTGGATTCATCACTTACGCTTGAGGCTCAGGCGTCGGCGGTGTCCGGGAGGGCTTTTGCACAACTAAGACTTGTGCGCCAGCTGCGACCGTACCTCGCAAAGGCTGATTTGGCCGGGGTGGTCCATGCCTTAGTCACCTCTAGATTGGATTACTGTAATGCGCTCTAGGTAGGGCTGCCCTTGAAAACGGCTTGGAAATTCCAACTGGTTCAATGGGCGGCAGCCAGGATGTTAACTGGCGCTCCTTACAGAGAGAGGTCAACCCTCCTGTTTAAGGAGCTCCATTGGCTGCCGTTTACCTACCGAGCCCAATTCAAGGTGCAGGTGCTTACCTACAAAGCCCTAAACGGTTTGGGACCTGCCTACCTGCGTGACCGCATCTCCGTATATGACCACGTGCTCACTTCGTTCATCCGGAGAGGCCCTGCTCGCGATCCCACCTGCGTCGCAGGCGCGTTTGGTGGGGACGAGGGACAGGGCCTTCTCTGTGGTTGCCCCCCGACTTTGGAACACCCTCCCCAAAGACATTAGACTAGCACCCACGTTGGCAGTCTTTAGGAAGAACTTGAAGACCTGGGTATTCCGATGTGCCTTTCCAGAATAGGATAAGCCCTAGCACTATGTCCCAGAAGCACTTTACGAGAGAGTTTAAGACTCTCTGCACATTGCACTTGCCCAGAATTCCAACATATCACCTCTTACACCCAGAACTTTTTAACTTGTACCCATCACTGGCCCAGCCCTGGTTTTTATTGCGTAATGGTGTAATGTTTTGTTATTGCTTATGTTTTTAATTTGCTTTGAATTGTATTGTTATTGTTTTGTTGTTGTTGTGTTGAGGCCTTGGCCTTTGTAAGCCGCATCGAGTCCTTGGGAGATGCTAGCGGGGTACAAATAAAGTTTAATAATAATAATAATAATAATATAATTCTTATACATGGGCACCAAATTCTCCAAATAAAGTTTAATAATAATAATAATAATAATTCCCATCACATGGGCAGGTGATGATTATTATCATTTCAAGGATACCAGCACACTTTTGAAAACAGGCATCCTTTAAGGCAGCGCTGCCTTCAAGACCTTTCCACTGAAGCAGGTTTAAGACATTTTTTAAAAGGTGGCACTTTCCCTGATGTCATTTGCTCCCATTGTCACCCCAGGATTTTGATTATTTCTTTAAAAAAAATCATTCCGGATCTTAGGAACTGGTTTTAAATTAACCCTCATCTTTCCCAGAACCTTTGCATTGGCAATCATAGGAAGTGGTTTTAAATTAACCTTGATCTTTCCTCAAGCTTCTTGGCATTAGCGATCTGGGGAAATGGGCATTTCAGCTCCGCCCACACACAATGTCATCATTTTATTTACAAGCGGTCAACAAATTGGCCATTTCGCTCATCTCTATGCGGGGAATTTAAAAATAAGTTGATTGCCAACCAGTTTAGGAATCCGTGGAGAAAGTAACACTTTAGAAATGGCAAAATACCTCACCCCACAGTTAAAGCTTGCATCGTGTGAAGGGCATCATGTGTTGCCATTTCTTAAATGTGTAGAAACGCTGATTTTACTATGTGTGATGAAGCCCAAAGCATATAAACATTAAAATAGAATTAATTATGGGACTTATGAAAACACACAGGTAAAACAAATAAAATAAGTACAAACCCATTAAAAAATCTGTTAAACTACTTAAAAGACAGCAGCCCCTGGTTTGGTCTTAAAGACGTTTTAGCTTGCCAACAGAAGGTTTTAACTTGCCAACAGAAGGACAGTTTCCCTAAGTAGGGAATTCTAGAGCCACGGGGCAGCCACCGAAAAGGCCTTCTTACGTTTTCACCAACCATGCTTGCGATAATGCTGGGACTGAGAGAAGGTCCTCTCCTGAGGATCTCGGGGCCTGGGCTCCTGCATTACTCCAACAGCTGTCCCATGGATCTGAGCACCCACCACCACCACCACCACTGTGAAGCACAGCCTTCCTATATTGGGCAGGCTAACAAGTGGCTAATAAAAACAAACAGGCAGTTGTTAAAAATAAGGTAGTAGACTTTGCCTCAGATAAAAAGATGTCTTGAGAGATGGGGATAAGTTAACAGATCTTGGAAAAATGGGGAAAGAAGCAAAGCAAAACACCGGACATGTTTGTTTCTTAATAAAGCTTTGTTAGAACATCATCCAATATTGTAAATTTTAAAGGCAACTGCTGTATAAAATGTTTCTCATGGGTTTCTCAAAATTGTGCAGGAAAGCTATACCTTTATACTAGCCAGGAGATGCTGCCGAGATTTGTGTGCTGGATCATAAGGAAAGGAGAGTGTGGTCATCCATGATATGTTTCCTGAATGACTTTTACATATGATTATCAGTAGATTGTTCCATGTTATTAAAATAATTTTTATTTCATGAGCTAATGATATAGAATTTAAGGCCTCTAATACTCTTACATGTTTAGACAAATCACTTTATATACATATATACATATAATAAAAACAAAAACTAAGAATGAAGTGTGTAGTCTTGAGACCCTCTCAGACTATGCAATGATAGCACTATAATTTAACTTAAATTGTCAAGATAATATTCTAAAGAACCCCTGGGTTTGTAATTAAGGAAAAACTTAGAGCTATCTTGTTGTTCCTCTCTAAAAGGAAAATACCAGGATTCCATAGGATGGAAGGCAATAAAAATGCTATCAAAGTATTATAATTATATAATGGGAAAGGGCCTTTGTTTACTGCGCCTCTAAAATGATAATATAGATTTTTTTTAAAGCACAAAATAGGCTGAGTAACATTATAATTCAACTGGCGTTCCCCATGAGAAAGTTTACAATATTTGGGACTGTTTAAAATGGAAAATAGGCAAGTACAGGAAAATATGTCCAAGGTATGTAAAGGTAAATGTGGTGTGAACAAAGTAGAGATAAATGATTTTCCTCTTTTACACAAAACTAACACCATTCACTATAACTGAATGGTGAGTTTCTGAGAAAATAAAAGGAAGTTTTTTGTTGTTTTTCCCACAAGAAGTGGTGATAGCTACCTAGTTGGATATCATCAAAAAGGAACTGGATCAGTTAGCAGATGATGGGGTATATATGTAGAGATGTGTGTGTGTGTGTGTGTGTGTGTATGGGGGGAGGGCGGCGGCAATATGTTCCTATACATTAGTTTGTGAGGAGCATGAGCAAAGGATAATGCTACACATATGTCCTGTTCATGGACCTTCTACCAGCAACAGTCTAACAGGATGCAAGAGCACACAAGTTTTTTGGTTTGAGTCAGCATTCCATCTTTTAGGTTCCTAACAACAGGCAGCTACTGTTGTCTAATTTGCAGAGTCAAAATGAAAGTTTTCAGTTGTCTTCCTCATTTACTCCATTGATACTTTCACCATACCAGAAAGAGAAAGTGCAAATCAAAATATGTAATATATGTTCAATGCATTCAATATATATTATATTTGTCTGTCTTAACAATCTAAACTTCAACAAAATAATTCACAATGAGACACAAGAAATTCTCACCTATATGTAAGAAATGTTCCATCAGAATCTGAGGTATATTGCTTTCTTCCATTCTCGTGTGACACATCTAGGAAGATGAACATAACCATTTTAAGTATATTTACTCAGGAGCATAAATTTGGTACATGTAGAAACAATAAATCTTTTCACATAGGATTGTGCCTTAGGTGAGTATGCATAATTACGCAATTAAAAAAAAATACTTTATATACTTATGTACTAATCCTGTCTCTGAGTATAGTGGGGAAAGGTGAGACCTCGGTCCATTCCGGGAGAACCTAAAAGAAGCACTGATTTTCTGCCGAGAGCCATTTTTGACGAGAAAATGGCAGTGACAACCAGGGACAGCTGATCACCTGAATCAGCACTGGTGCTTTCCTCTTTGTGGAATGACCACAAGTTATATCAAAATCCATACTTTTGCCCCCAAAACTTGCCCTCAACTGAGGTTGACTTATATCTGGTATAATACAGTTTGCCAGGTAGAAATCTAATAAGCTAATAAAAGGTAGATGGCAATACACAGAGATAAGTAGTAGGCCTGGGCGGTTTTGTTCGTTAATTTTGTAATTCGTTAAATATTCGTTATTTTTAGCAATTACGAAATGAATACAAAACATTTTTTCAAACCCGGAAGGGTTTTTCAATAACGAAACGGCATCCTCCATCCTTTTTACGAGCTTCCGCCCGTTTCGGAAATGGGATGGAGGATGCTGGTGCCTGGGAGCCAATCCGGCGCTCCCAAGCACCCAAGCAGTGCACCGTGGCTGATTTTGATTGGCCGGGAAGCCCTTTAAAAGCGGCTCCGCATGGCCGCTTTGCTCATTGTTGCGGAGGCGAGGGAGAAGGGAGGTCCGGGAGGGCGGCTTGCATTGGCTTGCATTGGCTTGCATTGGCTTGGCTTGGTTGGCTGGCTAAGCTGGATTTCCTTGCATTGATTCCTTAATTCCTTAATTCTGTTGTTGGGAGAGCGAGGGCGGTTTTTGTTAATTTGTTAATTTTCCATTTTTAAATATTTTTGAAAAATACCTTTCTTTTATTTAAAAAAAAATCAAAAAATATTCTTAAAAAAGGAAAGAATCTTGTGTGCCTGTGTGTGTGTTTCCCCCTGTCTTGTGGCTGTTGGCTCCACAGCGGGGAGAGCATTTTGTTAAGTTTCCATTTTTAAATATTTTTTGAAAAATACCTTTCTTTTATTCTTAAAAAAATCAAAAAATATTCTAAAAAAAGGAAAGAATCTTGTGTGCCTGTGTGTGTGTTTTGCCCTGTCTCGTGGCTGTGTTTGCTCCACATCAGGGCCAGTTTTTGGTTAATTTTCCATTTCTGAATATTTTTTAAAAATACCTGTCTTTTATTCTTAAAAAAAAATCAATAAATATTCTAAAAAAAGAAAAGAATCTTGTGTGCCTGTGTGTGCGTTTGTCATTTGTGTAGTTCCAACCAGTGCGCTCCTTTTGCCAACACAAAGTGCTATAATACAGTGCTCGCTCATTATTTGTGTAGTTCCAACCAGTGCGCTCCTTTTGCCAACACAAAGTGCTATAATACAGTGCTCGCTCATTTGTGTAGTTCCAACCAGTGCGCTCCTTTTGCCAACACAAAGTGCTATATAATACAGTGCTCGCTCATTATTTGTGTAGTTCCAACCAGTGCGCTCCTTTTGCCAACACAAAGTGCTATATATAATATAATACAGTGCAATTAGCACGAATAACGAAATTCCGTAAATGCTTTGTGCATGCGCTAACGCGGTGCGCCATCTTAACGAATCGATTCGTTATTAGCGATGCATACAAATAACGAAATTTCGTAAATGCTTTGCGCATGCGCCAACACGGGCGCCATCTTAACGTATCGATTTGTAAATATTTACGAAATTTCGTAAATACCGAACTTTTTTAAGGGAAAATTTTGTAATTATTTTAAATATCGAAACAAAAAAAACCCCCAATTACAAATTGATTTTAGAAACAAATTTTTCCGTTGTTACCCAGGCCTAATAAGTAGCAGTAGTTTAATTAATTAATGCCTAGACCATAAGTCATTTGCATATAGGTTGAGGACTTCACCCTATGGGATAAGTAAAATAAAGTAAATTGTTAGTTTTCCTTTAAGTTTCGCCATGACCTGTTTTGAAATTAAATGGAAGATTTCCCTATCCCCATCATGCCTAATACATTTCTCTGCTTTCTTTAAGATTTATCCATTTGTTTTGTTATCACATGGGAGTCATATGTCTCCTCTCACTGTCTTCTCTCACTGTCTCCTTCCCTGTTGTTTGCTCTCATACCCTTCAACTAGAGCAGAGTTAAGGCATCAGTCTTAAGGAACCACTTTTTCTGGGGTCATTTGCCCTCATAACCTTCTACTAGAGCAGAGTCAAGGCATCAGATTTACAAAACCACTTTTTCTAGGGTCATCAGCCCTCAACACCCTTCCAATAAAGTTAAGGCATTAATAAGCCATTTTTGGGGGTCATCTGTCCTCAACACCCTTCCAATGAAGCTGAGTTAAGGCACCACACCCTTATTTCTCCAACTGAAACACTTATTTCAATCAGAGCCACAACACCTGAAGGAGAATTAACCATTGCTTAAACAAAGAGATATAAATTAACTCCTTGGTTCTAAAGATTATGGCTGAATAAAGGACTCTATACTGCCTCAGGAAGGGGGGGGGAGGGTGAGGTAAATTTGACCATGTTTGTTGACATCAGAGCTGATTTACTCCTGGGCCATTTTTATCAATGGGAATTAAACAGATTCCCAAGAAGGCATTTGGGGACAAATCTTTTTGTTGTAGAAGGTAGGAATGGGGCTCCAGAGTGTTAATCTTCCTCCCAGTCCCTGGCAGTTCCCCAACGTTTTCACTCCTGCTCAACCAATTCACAAATAAGTTATTTGCATTTCCCTTACATGGTTTTATTGTAATCCTTGTACTTCATCTCTTGGTTGAACTGCTATTATAGTATTCCCTTGAAATATGAGGAATTTCACCTTATGTATATCTCTTTCCTTCAAACTACCAAGTTATGAAATTTTCATGTCTAGAATTTTTTTTTTAAGAGATCTAGATCAAATTATTTTCTCTAAATCCTACTTTCAAAATCTGGAGGAGGCTTTTTTCTGAGACATGTTGTGCACATCCATACATCTGGTGGAACAAAGCACACAGCTTTCTGGGTGACCACTGATAGGCTCTGGAAGTTCCTATCAAGGGAAATTAGGTAGTTCCCTCTCTACGGCCCTTCTGCAAAAAGGCATACACATTTTTTTTTTAAATCCAGCTCTAAGAGAGGTGAAAGCTGGAGAGCCTCAATAATCTTTTTTATATTTTAATTGTATTTATTGTTATCTGAATTACTGTTAAGCTCACTGAGTGCCTGTTATAGCAGAAAAGTAAAATATGAATGCCATTAATGATAAGAAAACATGAATAAAAAGGAATATTATTTATTGACTAGTTAAGGTAAGACATAAATATATATAATGCAAAATAGGAAAAATACAGTGGCTAGAAAGCTATATTTGTTCAGACTGGCAAGAATAAAAAAGGAAATGTTGCTATGAATGATACAATGTTTTGCAGTTCAAATTTCTACTCTGTACATAAAAAGTCGTATGACTGATAGCAACTAGAATGGTATTAAATTCTGTTTTCATGGATAATGTTCAGTAATGATTAATCACCATGGTTTCTGCTCTGAAGACATTAAATCATACACCAATATGTATATTTTAAAGGGCATAATTTGTGATCTCAGAGAAGGAAAAGCAATAGAGAAGAATTTCCTCACATTATTAAGTTTGAATTGTGATAACGGAGTTTTAAAATTTTTATTTTATTTTTATTTTAGCATATGTAAAGCTTAATAATTTAATGATTTATTCAAGTTTAATTTATACCTTCAAAACATTCTGAGATGCCACTGGAGATCATAATAGTGGTCTTGGTTAACTCAAATAATAATTAGAGCTTTCACTTTAAAGATGAGATTATTTTTAATTATTGAGTGAAGTACTTGAGGTACCATACTTATATAATTACACTACTCATTAAATGGTTATTGAGAGCTGAAATGTAATTTTAATGACAGCTACCTATTTTTCTTTGCACATTTTGTAGATGACAGATCAGTCATGAGTACTGGTTTGTTCGAAAGTTCTTGCAGCTGCAGTTGAGATTTCAGGTGTAGAACAATTAGGCTATGCTTATTTTTAAACTTAAAAAACTCTCATGCTCTCAGGCAGTATTTTATTGAGTGCAAAAATACCAAGGAAAATAAAATGACATCAAGGATAGGAAAGAAGATTCTATTAAGTTGATACTTTTTCCTCTGTGCAGCAACAGTATTCAAATATGGTTGCTGACGTGTACAAGCTCTTGAATCCTGGCCACTCAAAGAAAACTACCAAGGTTGGGCATAAGTTAATTACCAACAACCTAGAAAACATGGTAACCTACATTATTAAAAAGTAGCCTATTAGTTAATTCCAGAACTAGCAATTTGTCAACAGAGATTTTACTATAACACCTGTTCAAAGCTAAGTAAATGTTTACAGTAAAGATACTGAAACATTATATAAAAAGTACAACCATATACTATCACATAATTTTGACCTATTTGCATAATACTAATTAATGGAAAAGGGAAGTGGCACCTAATAGAATAGTTTAAATTTGAAAAAAATCTTGAGAACTGATATTTTCACTGCTTATACTATGTTATATTTTTGTTTCAAAAGAAAGAACACAATACTACAAATTAAACTTTTATTTCTTGCTGTGAAATTCAAACAGAGAAGTATATTTATTTTGAAACAGTATTAAAAGAACGATTTCTGAGTTTACTATATGGGAGAAAGATATTAAAAGTTTAGAGAAATGCATAACTGCTTTGTTCCTCCAATCCCCTAGTTGAAATTAATTATAGCAAATGTTTATGAAAACATCTGTTCCATACTGTTATAAACTCCAAATTTTAGCATGGACAATTTCAGGTTCTTTCTATTTTGAAGCAACGTAGTCTATGAATTTCAACGTTAACAGAGGAAAGTCTGTAATTCA